TTGCATTTGGAGGAGACATTCAGACTTTTATTTTGAAAATGGTTCACAATATAACGGACTCTTTATCATGGGGACAAAGTCTGGTCTTTCATTTATTTTGTGGTTGCATCTGGGAAAGAAATATGTGAATAAATGCAAATGTTTGATCATTTTGAATTCTTACTGAAATCCTGCATCTTGATGAACCAGGAATGGATGAAACGATGAGTTTGAGTGAGTCTGACAGTTTGAAGCGCTGTGCAGTCTGGCTGGAAATCAAACAGTGTGAGTGTATAATGTTAATAAAGCTGAGGACAAATTGCCAGATCAGCTGCTGTTTGATATTAAAAAAATGAAGATGAAACGCAGAGGTGACTCTCCAGCAGTGACGGTGAATCATGTGAATGTGTCTGTACTTGGCTTCAGATCAAGGTGAATCTGTGTGTATGAGAGTGCACGTGTGCGCGCGCGTGCACGTATGGCCCTCATTAGTTAACTCCAGGCCTGCATTCACAGTATGACTACACCCCTCCTCCTGCACCTCCTCCTCTCACTCTCAGCCTCTCCACTAAATGAGGTTAATAAACCCAAGCGTTTACTACCAGCATCACCAACACCCCCCTCCTCACCCCCCGTCTCTGCCTGCATTCTCCTTCATCTCCACCCGTCTACCTCCACCTCTCTTTGCAGTCCTGAGCCAGCACTCCACCTCCCACCTCCTCCTCTCCTCCCTAAGCCTCCCTCCTTCTTTCATCCTTAGCTTGAAATGCTTTCTTCCTCTTTTCTTCACCTTCTTTTTTTATTGTCATTGTTGCAGAGCGAAAGCTCAGGGATTTCCTCCCTCCATTTCCCAGGACAGAGCTGCAATTACAGCTCAAGAGAGAAGAAGACCAGCTGTTTCTGGAGAAACAGGTTTAAGTCATCAGGGAGGAAAAGAGTAGGGCGCCCCTCAGAGGCTAGGGAGGGACACTGCTCCCCTTGTCTCCCATATATTTCTCTCTCACATCAAAGCGCTGGAGTTCCTTTCAGCCGACGTGCCTTTTTTAAAAAAACATACCAGACAGGGTCACGATGTTCCAACAGGAATTACAACCCGTCATAACGAATAATGTGCTCTGTTGTGACCTGGCTTACAGGTCCTGAGACAGAACATACACACATGCACACACACACACACACACACTCACTGGCAAGCTTACAAACAAGTGGTGATAGCAGAGTAAATGTGAAGAATGCATCAAACAGCCTTGGCTGCTCTTATCTCAGCGGCAGCATGTGGACAAGGACATCATGAATGGAGAAAGTAGCCAAGATGTGATTGGAGTGAACATTAGACAGCTGTGATTGGCTGGGGATTAAATGACACTGCTCTCATCCATAATGCATAACAGCAGATAAAGTGCTTTATTCCATTAGATGCCCTGGACGTTTCCAGGAACAAATGGAAGCTGTGGTCGTAGACAGATAAAACCAAAACAAAGTGAGCGGTTGAGACACATTTATCCGAGGCAGGTGAAACTAGGATTTTCACAACATTGTTCCAGCATCACTGTGACTGGATGGTCTTCAGTTCCTCTTGTGCGTTGGCCTTGTACTGGTACTTGTTTTGTTTTGATTCTGAAAAGCTTAGAATATACTGTTTGGACATCATATATTTACGGCTCCTTTGGTCTAATGTCACACTGCATTTGACTCTGTATGGAAACACAAATTTACCCAGAGTACAGTTGTAGAAGATGAACTATCTGGGTGATAAGTTGAATTTTAGACAAATATCAAACCCTATCACCATCCTGCTTCGTTGTATCACAGATTTGTACTTTAACAGTGGTTTTATTCACAGATTTATATCAATGAGAATTAGAAAAACAATCCAGAATTCTTCTCTACAGCTCAGTATTTTCCATCCCTTCTTTTAAATAGCATTGTGTATCCTTTGGGTAACATTACTGCCACCTGCTGGGTCTAACGCTATTTAAGAATATCTAAATATTAATCAACACAAATGGAAGGTAAAGAAAATACCAGCAGGGGGCAGTGTAGCTGCAGATCAACCTGTGAAAACTAAACTACAACCAAGGAAAACCAACCAACTAGCTAAAATGAGGAGAAAAATTTTTTTTTGTGTGTTTAGAAAATTCTCACATGCTCCACCTACGAATATCTGCCTGTTCCTCAGTCTTGAGGCATCAGCTGCTGGCCATGTAATGTTTCCTAACAGCTGTGGTGCTGTCAGGTTTGTCTATGCGAGCGCTGTAACAAAGAGAGAGTGATGGCAGCAGGAGTCCCTGTCGGCCCAGGGGACGGTCAGAGAGGAGCAGACGCTCATGTTGTTTCACTGCAAACATATGGTGAAACTCAAGTGTGTAATTTACCTAGGACTACGGGTGGCCTGAGGTAGCGCGCGCACACACACACACACACACACTCTTACAGTGACAGGGTGTAATTTACCTGGGGCCTATGGGTGGCCCAGTATCCCGTTGCACTTGTCATACACACACAGACAGCTCAACACAATTCAAAGTCTTTGCCAGAGACGAGAAGAGAGTGAAACCGAATTTTCCCAGGCCTGAGAGCAGGAGAGTAAGAAATCACACCTTGACAGAGATGTTAGAGACCACAGCTCTGAACGCTGCCTTCAGTGTACTCTCCTTCTTCCTACGCCCCCCTCCCCCTCCCAAAAAAAAAAAAATCAAATCCAACCTGCCCCCTCCCTCCCAAAAAAAAAAAATCAAATCCAACCTGTGGGAGTTGCTGCTCACCCTGTATCACATCCTCTCCAATTCATCAACCTGGCCCTGTTTCAAAGCTGCTGCTTCCCCCCTGTAAAAGCCAGAAGGAGTTGAAGGTCATGGGAGCAGCAGTGATGGAGAAAAAGGAGGCAGATGAGAGGAGTACGTCCCCTCCCTGCATTCCTGTGCAGACCCTCCTAGCATTGTTGCACTGTACCCACCGTCGTAGCTGTTGGTTATAGTAGAGTGGCAGTCAAGCCTCCGCCCGCCCCACCCTGAGTCTACGGCAGTGGTTGATAGTCAGTGTGTCAGGTTTCACCTGAGGATTGACAGACACGCTGTCCCAGACATTTACAGTTGGCACTGCTTGAGGTGTCTGTCAGTCAGGGCTGATATAATAGTCTGTCTAGGTGTGTCGCTGTGTCTGAGAGCTACAGAGTATGGGCTGAGGTGGGGGTGGGTGGGGAGTGAAGGAGAAAGCGCTTACCTTTGATCTCCTTTCTCAGCCAAATGGCTTTAACTTCACTCCAGGTGCGTGGAAGTCAACCTGAGGGCATGGGAGGAACGTACAGTCAAGACCATGACCACGATGAGCAGTGGATATAAATAGTTTCCAAATTCTTGTAAAGATGACAGCGTTTTGACTTAAAACAAAGACGCCAATGTATTTGATTTACGAGGTTTTCCTACAAGTTTCATGTTTCAGTTGAGAAAAACCTTTGAAATGAATTTCTGCTGAAAGATAAATAATAAAAGATGAGAGCGTACTTATTTAAAACAAATGCATTTAGTAGTTCATCCATGTGAACGGTGGGGGGGAGTTGTTCATCCATGTGAACGGTGGGGGATCTATATTTACCTGTGTATTTTGTAGCTGTTTACTACGTTCACAGATAAGCACAAACTCACTGTATTACTAGTACTACTTCTAATACTATTTTTTTCAACTTTGGTCTATTGTAAATAGGCTATAGTGTTTGTCTGCTACTGCTGTAGCTAACGTTAGCCCTGGTGTCTGTACACTGAGGTGACACTGCAGGCTGTCACCTACTGATTGAAGTGTATATTTCTAGCAACAGTGAGCTAGAAATGAGGAAACTAAGAAAGAGATTAAAGGGTTTTTGTTGTTTTGTTTTTGTTTTACTGTGATGAAGGCATTAACATCTCAGACAATTCTTTTAAAAATGCAGGCCAAAGGGTTATTTTTATGAACTCATCAGACAGCTCTTTGGGAGTGGGTCGACATGTCTCGTCCACAGAACTAACACACGAACGTCGGGGTGACGTTACAGTTTTGACTGCGACTGCACAGTTTCTCAGGCTTCCACGCCGTGCCCTAGGATAAACATCTCCTGCTGCCACCTCCACATGTGAACATCAATCTGTCCCAAACAGAAATACTGAGGGTGAGAAATGAGAAGGTGAAAACAGCAGCTGCTGCAGTGGCCGCTCTAATGACAATGTGCAGGACAGACTCTCAGTCTGCTGTGCACACAAACACATGGAGTTGGTTTTCCTTCGCTGCACTTCAGCTCTGATTGGACACCAAGTAAATTAGGTGGAAAGTCAACAGTGGGACTAGAACTACTGTACTGTATGTTACAGTCCACTACCAAACAGAGGGAGGAGGGTCACTTGAAATTTTCCAGGGGGGCGTCCCTAGAACAATGCTTATTTTTTCTGGCATTTACGTCATATATACATGTAAAATAACATATGCATAAAGTAAAAATAAAGTGAAACCGGTAAAATAAACAGGACTGGACAGGATATGAAAATAGGAAAACATTGGGAAAAAAAACAGAAACAATTTAAAAATAATGGAAATAGTACAATAATATAAAAGAAAAGATAAAGTCAAAAATGAAAAAAATGTTAAACTTAAGATACAATAAAGGTGAAGAAACATAACTAAACATAAATAAATCCATTCAAAAAATTAATCAACTATTAAAAATGAAATCAGAAAATTATGGTTAAATAAATAGAAAAGATAAATGTTAAACTTAAGTTAACTTATGGTTAAATAAATAGAAAAGATAAATAACATGACATTATCAACAACAACCTTATGATGGTGATATGACATAATCGACGTATTCCCTGTAAAAGACAAATATTGTGTGGATATAATGTAGTAACGAGGTGGCAGTAAAGTCATACTGTCATGGTGGTGTGATTTGCAATTTTGTTGCAGAAAATGTCCTCAAATATAAATGTAAATTGCACTGAAAAAGATTTATTTCTTTGTTGTGATTTGACTGTTTGTTTTTGTTGGTGTTGCAGAGTGAGCCTGGGAAACACACGGCAGAGAGAGAGAGAGAGAGAGATGTGAGTTTAGGAGGTGAAGATGATTTGGCAGAAAATCCAACCATCAGCTCCATTAAAACAGCCATAAACTGCAGTTCTCAGACAGTCACAGATCTCTCCCACTCCGTGCCCCTGACCGTTTCATGAGTAATCGCTCTCTTCATCCCAGACTCTACTGTATCTCCGTACAGGGGAACCTGTGTGGTCCATAATGGGAGCAGTAAACATCTGCTACTCCTGCATTAGAGACCATTTTCTCTGCGTCTCGTCCTGTAATATGGATAAATTAGAGTGCAGGGGACTCATTCTGCATGTTTACACTCACACACACACACGCTGCAGACATAACATCAGGAATCCAAGTGTTTTTATACGAACTAAGTGACGCTCGAACATACCATCTCAACACCACAATTTTCCATCCACAGCTGCAAAACACTCCCGTGTGTCCTCGCTCCTGCTTCCACCTCCCCAAAGTGCAGGAGAGGTTCAAAAATAAGGAGGAACGAGGAGCACAGTTACTGATTTATAAGTAAAACTCCTGTTAGTTACACTCCAAACTCCCCTTAAATCATGACTAGCGGGCTGTTGGATTATTTCAAAGAGCGGAACTTGACTTAATCTGTTCCTTTTCTCTCTGTCTAATCATTTGCTCAGCTGTAACTCTGTGTATTTGTGTGTTTATTCAACACGCCAGGAATTCCCCCTTCCAACAGCCCACATCACATCACAACAAAGGCTGTTATGCAACTGCTGACGGATGACACAAAGTGGACGGCTGGCGCCGCCTTGCGTCCAAACTGCAGCAGACAACAGACTGGTACGGTTAGAACGGCTTTTTGAAGTCTTAATAAGTAACATTAGCTTATTAGCTTAATAAGTAACATGGCTACGATGTTTGCACAGAAATGAGGACATAATAATTAACAAAGAACCTTAAAGTCAGTTAAAAAGTAATGTAAATGTCGCCAAAGCAGGTAGGACGAGCGTTTTTTTTAGCGTTTGTAAAAGTGAACGAAGAAAACGTTTATTTATTGATTATTTTTTCCAACGAGCCGTTAGGAGCTCCGTATGTTTTAGCCATCTTTATGCTAACTTTTGCGCATCCTATAGCAATTTTTAGCTTTTTGGCCTTTTAAAGACAATTTTCCAAATTTTTGTTGACCTTTATGTTGATGCTATTTTTGTCGTTTTGTTATAATTTGACAACATTTGTTTGTTTTGTTTTTTTAACTTTTTTTCTTTACTATTTGGCCGGAAATTTTTAGTTGATTTTTTTTTCTTCAGCTATTTGGTTAAGAATTTCCATTTTGGCTATTATTTCCAGCAACTTTAGTAAATGTTTTTTAATCTTTTACCTGCCTTTTGGCAACAACTGTATTAATGTTTTGTTAATTTGAATGAATTTATATTAAGCTTCTGGGAGTATTTCAGCAATAAGATTACGCTAATGTTTTTATCTTTTGGTTGATTTTATAATTTGCCAATATATTTATATATTTGCTGTCTTTTGAGATAATATTCAGTAAAGTTTTAAAGTAGTATAGTCCACTGCATGTCAAGTATCAATAAGGTCCCTGAGCCCAGGTTATGAACACATCAGGGTATAATTTAAAAAAAAAACGACAACAGTAAAATCTGGTAGTAGATCAAGTGTTTATTAACAAAAGCATGTAATCCCCCGGCCCCCCAAAAAACAAAATGAAACGTTTTAAAGGTCAGAGACTGATGAGAGGAGCTCACATTGTGAGACAGACCTGTGGAAGTCATCTTTGGAGGACAATAGGATTTACTTCTTTTGACTGCGAGACATCAATGACAGTTTAAACTTCCAGGTGAGTCGTCTGTAGATCACAGATTAGTCTTTTCTCATTACTATGAAGAACCTTTAGGTCTTGGGTCTCCTCATCTTCACTTCATCTCTGCCTGCACCTCCTTGAAGATCTGCTCCTCCAGCTCGGACGTGTCGTACTCCTTTAACATGTCATACTCCAGCCATGGCTGAGCCCATTTCTGGGCATGCTCCATCTCCTCCGGGGTCAGGTGCAGGTCAAAGCGGATGCCCTTGACGTTGTACTTGGGTCGTTCCCAGCGTTTGGACCAGGGTTTTGGACGCATCTTCACCTTCATCTGGATGACAGACAGAATCATGGACGTGCTCGGTAAGTCTGAGTCTGAGTCATGTTTACTGTAATGTTCACAGTGGTCGTGATGTTAAGACTGTGTCACCTGGTTGACAGGAACCTCTTCAGCTAGAGGAAAAGGCATGGGCTTCATGTTTGGATCCACGGTGCTGTACTCAGGCAGAGCGTCTCTCAGGTACATCAGGTTGTCGTCCAGTCTTTTCTCCAGCTTCAGCACCTCGATGCTCTGGATACGAGGGCTGTAGAGCTCGTAGCAAATCTCTACACCTGAGACACACACACAAGGTTCATTCTCCTTTCACCAACTTTGAAACTCGTCTCACGGCTTTACTTTAAACTACTTTTCATCCTGTGTACACACATACATTATTATTATTTTTGTTATTATTACTATTAATATCCTTTTTGGCTAATTTAAAAAATAATTATGTTCCTTTGGCTTACTTTCAGCTTATATCTGCTAACCTTTAACAGTGGGTAAGAAAACATTTGCCTGCTTTTGGTTATCTTTTGTTTAACATTTTTTGCTCTGAGTGCTGAGTCTGGGGATTTCTGAGCTAGCATTTTCAGGTAGCCTTTAGCTACCATTTTTGGACAATTGTGAATTTTTTTTTAGATCAGTACTTCTACAGAAACAAAAGAAAGTCACCTTGGTTGTCAATGATATTCCGCAGTACGAATGTAGCGCCCAGACCTTTCCCACCTCTCTGGATACAGATGCCCACAAACCGGTTTGATTTTCCACTGGCATTTGGGTCGGCCATGGTCACGGCCAGGATACTCCCTAGAGGGAAAAATATATATGTAAACTACGATAAATAGTAAAAGAAAAAAAATATGAAACAAATTTAAAGTTGTTTCAAAGTGTTTATTTTCTTACCTGTGTAGAATTCTGGGATGTTGAGCACTTTCCTTCTGCGGATCATGTCTTTTCTCTCTATAGCAAACTTGAAGGGATCTGTCCTCTGTCTTGGTGGGATGAACTCTGGGCTGAGAAACCTACCAGAAAAAAATACACATATATTACGTATTTTACTCTAACACTTACAGTGTTTTTTTTCCTACAGATTAAAGTCATACTTTCTTTGGGAAACATCCGCCTGATTTTTATCTTTGATGACAGGTTTAGGTGGAGGGGTGAATTTTGGAGGCTTGTTGTCATCCGCAGCGAGACGGAATACGGATGTGGACAGAAAACCTGAAAATAACAAGAATCGTAAGTAAGACAAAGGATAATCGATTATTGAACTGAGTTTCTGCAAATATGACAATATCATGTTCACACAGAGAACAGGTCGCACCGTTAGCTTCTCAGCCAGTTTCACTTAACATGTACACGGGGCGCCGCTTTGTCGATCTAACCGTAAATTCAATCGTATATTCAGAAAAAAACGTTTTAATTTTACTTACGTTCATTCCGTAGTTGTAGGTGTCGTAAGAACCTTAGCGAGAGAAGACATTTGTCAAATGTACTAGTGCAAGACGCCATGTCTGACCTTCTGTTGTCACGTGTGAATACGGACGGAAGCCCGTGTGAGTCAAACGTACCCAAAGCGATGCTGTTTCATTTCCTGTAGTTTTGAACATTGTCCACAAGATGGCAGAATTGTTCAACTAAATTGTGAATATTTTTGAAAACAAAATATTAATTGCAGTTTAACATAATAATTGACATCAACAACGGTCCATTTAAAACAAAGGATTGGATTGTTTGATTAATTTTTGTTTTTTACTATTTAAGGATTGGGTTGTTTGATTATTTTTTATTAAAAATATTTTTACTATTACGTAAATTAAAAAGTCATACAGTTGTTTTTCTTATATGTGAAATCCATAATTAAACAATGTTTTTCCTGCTCTGCTACCATTAAGCTATTCAGTGTTTACTAAATCTAGGTAGATACCAAGTTTTACTTTTAAAAGGGAAAACCTTTGACCAACTTACAGAATAAGACTAATTTAAAGCAACAGTATAGTACCTGGTCACCCACGCCGTGGACCTGGACATTTACAGCGACCCCTTTGGTTAATTTAGAGATATTTACCTAGGATAGGGACGGTGTGGAATTAAGCTAATAGTCTTAAAAAAAAGTTTTAAATTCAGATTCAATTTAATGCATTAAAGTGACTTGTACATCAATATTAATTATATAAATTACATGAAGCAATGGGATGAATTCTAAATAATCAACTTGGAATAAAGACTGTGGTGGGAACTTTTTTTCGGCGAGTTCCGGGGGAATGGATGTTGTTTTGTTGTTGTTGTTGTTTTGGTGGTTCCAACAACAGTGATGTTGTATTGTCTGCGTACATGCCCCAGGATTTACTACTACACACTGTTGGGAACTCAATGAGAGGCAATGTGAGAACGAGAGAGAGAGGGAGGATGGGGGAGGAGGGGGGAGGTGTGTGCGCGGCTCCTGCCCAGAGAGACCTCGATCCAGAGTCTCACACTGCGCCGTGTGGTTTGGTGGGAGGATGAGGGAAGACTGTGGAGCCGTGATGGACCCGCACATCTCCCGCATGAGACGCACGGGCTGAACCCCAATGTTGCTGATGTCTTTGTTGTCACTGGACTTTCTGATGTTTTGGATTAACTTAAAAACTGCGAGACTTCAAGGATGTTCTTCTCAGATGGGACTCTGTCAGCCGTCAGTTGTGCGCTCCTGTTGGGAATAACGTGCTTCAGCGCCCTCACTGAGGCTTCTTCGGACTTCACAGGTTGGTCATGGTGCATGTTTGTGTGGGTGAAGTTTGTGGAAATTTCTTAGCCGGGCTTTTATGGTCAGAATCTGCGGGACATGGGAGTTTGAAAACATGGCTTGGATCAGTGTTTGCTTTCAGGAGTTGTGATTTGATTGTGTCGGGACAGCTAGCCGTGCCTGTGGCGTGCTGCAGCACGCACGCTCTAAAATGTTTGCGCCACACATCGACTAGAACGAAAAAGAAACACGCAGAAATTCTTATCTGCTTTAGATTCTTTATAAGCATCAGGTTGTTTGAGCGCAGTCAGCGGCAGCTGGTCGAACTGAGACCCGGGGGGTCGTTGCCATTCTACACTGATGCTTTTTAGAGGAGCTATTGATATGTGGCTGGTTTGTTTACTGTTGGAAATATGCTTGAAGTTTGACGCTCGATGCGTGTATATATATATATATATATATATATATATATATATATATCAAAAAGATCTAACCATTAGGCCCAAAGATACCTCAAGGTTTGGTGTTTTTTTTAATTCCCTAATTAACACAAATGGCATTTGGCAAATGGCAAGCACGAGTTAAAACTTTATTTAAAAAAAAATCAGAAATTATTATTATGCTAATTAGCTAAATAATGAATAAAAACACACATAGCTTAAGCTTAGCAAAAGCTGCTAAATGTTAGCAGGAACTGGTGAAATTAGCACAAAGAGAACTGAACATTAGCTCAGTTACTGCTGCAATTCTGTCAAATGATATTGCCACAACAACACAAAGTTGCTGAAGTACAAAATAAAAACAATAGCTTAAATGTTTTTAAAAAATAGACTTCAGAGTGTGTTTAAAAAGACCTGTCTGAGGTTTGACCTGAGGACAGAAAAACTCCCTGTGGTTAATGCATAACTGTAAAGAAACTTGTTTGGCTCCAACATCCTCTGCTCCATTTTCAGTTTATCTGCTAAAAGAAGGTCAATACAATCTGTCAGGTGCTTGAGGTTAATGTACAAGTGTGTGTGTGTGTGTGTTTGCATGAGTGTCACACAATCTGTCATCTAAGAAAGTGTTGCCTAAATTAATGAGTCGCTCTGTTGCATTATGGGTCGTGGGTCTGCACTGATGGAGCCCAGGGCAAGTCTGCAGGTTTTGTTTACTGTGATCATAAAACAGGAAAGGGAGCTTTGTGTCAGTGTTAATTGGCCTCTAATGGGTCTAATGGTTGGAAACAAGCAGACGAGGCCTGTGGGGAAAGGTGCTAAGGAGCTGATGTACGTTAACGTGACCTCTGTGTCTGCGTGTGCCCTAATGAGCTGCTAAAGACTGAGGTTTAGGAGGAAGCTGTTAACGAGGGTTCATTTCTGTGCGTGTGTATGGTCAATGTCAAGAGTAACTGAAGTCAGGAGATGATGTGGTGAATGAGGCAGGAAGTGAGCGTCCTTCAAGTGCATGTGATGATATGTTCACACTGTTCTGCCTAATGGAGTGGGTTTGTGGTTAAAAAAAAAAAGAAATGTATGAAAATAACTTTCTTCAGTCCAAAAAAACACAAGTTTTCAGATTGATTATTGGTCATTCTTAGAAATGTATGAAAATCATTTTCTTTTCAGATTGATTATTGGTCATTCTTAATCACTGTGGTTCTATATTAAAGCATCAGTATGACGTGAAACATTGGGGGGCGTTACACCAGCTGTAGCCCTGACTATAGAATGTATGACTGTGGGAAAACGATTGTTAAGCTAACGAGCTACAATCTGAAAAAGTTTATGGTCCTAATAACAATGTGATTTCTTATACCACCAATTTGAATCCTATTGAGAGTAAAGCAGCTGATAAAGCACAATATGAGACGTAAAACTAGTAAATGGAACCATCATTAATGTGGTTAATCTTCAACGACTTTATTAGGAGGTTGAGAATTTTTCCTCTGTTTCCATGTGTGTAGAGTTTCTTCTGTGCTATTTCCACTGCTTCCCTTTTGAAGCCAGATGCCTGCGTCTGAAATCAGGCCACAGATGCCACACACCCACAGTTGCGTTTGCTTATCACTGTGCAGCATCCTTTTACACAAATGCTGACTAAGCATCCCTGTGAATGGAAACAAGGAAGGGGGACCTGCTTAGAATACCAAAGAAAAAGACAAAGAAATCATTCAGTTCCCACATTCTTGACCAGCTGGAGTCTCCCTGGAAACCCAGAGCGAGGAGCTTCTTTGACTGACAGGTGGAGCCGAGGCTGCTGGCCGACAGAAGCTGTAGGTTAGGATCAAACATCTGTCAGTTGGACCTCTGTCAGTCAGATGGTGGACTCAGCAGAATGAGCCTGGTGGTGGGGATAAATCAACCCAACAGAGGCCAGGTCAAGCCTTCAAAGGACGTTGATTACATGTCTTTTTGGTAGTTTATGTGTGTCACTCTGCATGTCCTGGCTTTGTTGACAGCATGCATTATAAAGGACAGTTTCATATTTCGTCATCGTCTTTCAGCTCCTTGCTGAACTGAAAACAAACTTTGCTGGAGGGTAATTTAATTCTGTCTCTTCCCCCTGTTATCATTGTCTATTATACAGCTGCCTGAACAGCTAATTAGAGGTGTGGAGTGAGCGTCACAACACTTACGAGCCCCCAGGGCTTTGGCTAACGGAGGTAGCAGGAAAGCTAATTCTTAATCGTCGCTTCACAGGTTATTAATAGACGGGATTTTTTATTTTTCTTGTCAATTAGCATGTGTTTGTTGTTTTTTGGGTTTTTTTAGTTTTCTTGTCAATTAGCATGTGTTTGTTTTTTTTATTCTTGGCAAACGGGTTGAAAATTAAAAATTAATTTGTTAAATTGTGACTAAAAACACATGACTCTTTTTTTAAGAGTTATGTTAAGTTATGTTTTGGTGTCTTCTGATTGGTTGCTCTATATGAGAAGTAGAAGTAGTTAGATTGGATCTCTAGAACTCTGATTCACAAACACTACGCTAATAATTATCAACTTCATTCGTAACATTACATATTTATTTATTTACATTTTATTTGGAGATTTAAAACTTGCTGACCTCACCTCCATTATGTAGCTCAATTATTTACATTTTATTTGGAGATATTTGCTGACCTCACCTCCATTATGTAGCTTCTCCTGGCTAATTTTTTTAAGTGGCAGTTTTCTGTATTCGAGTGACTTTTGTCAATGAACATTAACACACAACACCGTAACTACTCTAGTAATTTCATTAGTGTTTTTAAAACAAAGATATTGCATCAAATCAATACCAAACAAAACCCAGTCTGTAACCAAGGGTGTCCAGGCATCTGGAAGGTGGAGCCTACTATATAAAGTGAACCTTCCTACAGGCCAACTGCTCTTCCTGTGACACTAAATACTATAATTAAGTGGAATACGAATGAAGTGTTTGTGGGCTGAGGTTACCAGAATAATAGAAGAGTATTTAAAGTAGAAAATAAGTTTTACAAATATGAAGGATAAATAAACTGAAAAATACAACAAGTACTGTAAAATAAATACCAGAACTTGTACAAATTTCAAGAAAAGAGACCAAACGTAATGTATCCATAGTGCCTGAAAACCTAATATATTTGCATCTTATTTATATTATTCTAAATGCCATACAATCAACGAGATGTTGAAATTTAAAATAAAATGTTAGAAACAAATGTTGTGATTAAACTCTGATAATGTTTCTATAAACTGTGGCACATTTTGTCAGCTGTTACCGGGCGAACTCTACTAATGGGGCCACAGCGACGCCACATTTATTCTCCTTCACTGTCGTAAAAGCCTGTGGGCCAAACCTTATTTAACCCCAGTGAATGGGACGTGAGGCTGCGGAGGGGTTAAGGGGTCAACTGAGGTCAACTCCCACTAACTGTGAGCGTGGTTAGGATGGGGGTGGGGGTGGGGGGTCATCCATCTCAGTCTTTGTTCCATGCTGTCGAGACCTCATGAACACACGATGGTCACAATAAGAGAAGGAGAAAGTCAACAGCGGTCAGATCATGAATTTAGATTTGGTTCAAAATAAGGTGAGCGTGTCAAGTTTGGATTGTGTGACGTGATGAATTTAATCTAATCAGCATGAAAACTGCCTTAGCCTATCAGTGGAATTACATAGCAGACTGAAGGTTCTCAAGTTGTGGTAAAGTATGCATGAACTTTTTTTTATCAATAAACCAGAGAAATGTTCAAAGTAAACACAAATCGTAAACAGATTAAAGGGTTCAGTGAAAGTGTTTTAGTGGAACATAGACAGAAGATGGTGGTAATGCAACTGAAAGGATGTCAGTTGACGTTAAACTCAAAGGAGAAGAAATGAGGAGGGGGAGGGTCTGGATTAGCTCACAGCCGAGGCTGTGGTGGGACTAAATACTTAAAGTTGAGTCAAAGTTAAATGTGATGTAAACACAGAGTTTGATCAATGTTGTTGGTAAATGTTTCCAAATTAGGAAATATTTCAGATTATGTCCAGCTCCACTTCGGGACGTCCTGTTGGCGTTAACGCTTCACTCAGACATGTCTGTCGAAGGCGCGTTGCGTTGTGACCAACACATACTGACACACAAATCCTCTTCTGCTCTTAGTCTGTGTTTGAGTCCTGGATTAGGCTGCCCCTATCTGCCAACCCCCACACTCACAAACACACCACCACACCCCTCCACCTATCACAAAGTGCTACTCCAGAACCCCTTAAAAAAATTTTAATCCCTGGATGGAGTGCAAAACTGAACCCCATGCTCTCTACTCCGTTTTCACCCGCCACCCCCAGCTGCACCCTCCCCAGGTCCCTTAGGTCTTTCCTCACCACCTCCTCTTGCTGCCCGTACTCCTCCCTAGGGCTCGCCTGATCACTGTTTCTGTGTCTGCCTGAGCGCCAGGTGAGCTCTGTCTAAACAAATCCTGCCTCCTGCTTGTTTTGTCTACCTCGGTGCAGGCAGGCGGCTCGGCGGGGGCACTGACATAAGGCCGCCTTTCTCTGTAGGTGAATAGAGAAAACTGTGAGGTTCTTCTCTTCAAAG